ACCTCGTGGGTTATCTCTGGGTCCTCCGGTCCCCCCCCCCCCCCATTGCTAACGACCACTACGCACAAGCGAATTATTGAAATAAAATTGGATCATATGTTAGCCCCGAAATCACCTAGTTTGTGTCGAGTGGATGCTACCCCCCCCCCTCTCTCTCTCTCTCTCTCTCTCTCTCTGTCTCTCACTCTCTTCCTTTAACTGATAGGAATGTAATTACTGCTGCTGTCGCTTTAAAGTTTTTCGAGCGAAAAAGAAATAAATTGCTGCTGACAATACGCCAGGTGACTTTATAAAATGGAGAAATAAAATATTTATAAGAAAACAATTGCTTCGTGTTTTAGCGTGGCTGGCAACTAATGCATGATAAATGATCCACGTACATGCAATTCTCAAACATGTCACTTAAAATGATCAACAATTGTTCGGTGTATCGCTGAAAATAAATTGAGCATCCATTTCTCAGAAAAATTGTTTTAGTTTTGGTTGTAATTTCCAGTCTACGTGTGAAACAAAGAATGTGTGAGAGAGTGTGAGAAAGAGAGATAGAGAGAGTGTGTGAGAGAGAGAGAGAGAGAGAGAGAGAGGGGGTAACGTCCACTCGACACAAACTTATGGTTTAATTTTAATTCAATAATTCGATTGTGCGTAGGGGTCTTTAGCTATGGGAGGAAACCGGAGGACCCGGAGAAAACCCACGAGGTTGGACAGGCGACCCTACTCCTTGTCACGTACAATCGAGGATTCGAAACCACGCCAGTTGACTCAATGACAACAAAGAATGTGTAATATTCGATATAGATGATATTTATCGGTCGTATAAATAAATAATGCTGTAGTATTTTTGTTGTTCTTCTTGGGTTATTCCCCCCTTGTCAGTGACGCAGGACGGAGGTCCTGAAAAACCGAGGTCCTGTGTATACATTGGCATACACGTAAAGGATCCATTGACAGTTGTAATTCGATATAATAGTAGGCCGTAGTGTCGCTGCCCGGGCAATATGTCCCTCATAGCACACTGTATGGCGTATGCTCGTCTTCATTAGCCCAGTCGGAGCAGAACAGTAGGACGTTAAACCCCATTTCATTTCTTGGGTTATTCTGCTGAATATACCCGTCTTCATTAGCCCGGATGGAGCAAAAAAGTAGGTTAACGTTAAAGCTCGTTTAATATTTCTGCTAATTAAAGATGCATTATGTAAGAGCTAAATCTGACCATGTTTTTATCACGGCTTAAAATGTTGTATGAATTATCATTTAGATATTTGGTGCTATATAACCCGGTTGGAACTGACGTGCCATTAAATAGAGAATCTCCTACGAGTCTTTTTTGATATCACAAATTATGCCGAGTTTTTTTTTTTACTTTATCGACGAGTGTTGATATTTTTTGAAATCAAAAAGAGACGAGTAGGAGATTTTATTTATCACCCAATCCTTTCATACATGCACAAATACATAAATATAATTCTTTGTATTCATTTAGACATTTGTCGCAATATATCCCGGTTGTAACTGACGTGTCATTAAACCACATTTCATTTATTCATTCATTTATTTAGATATTTATAATCAGCCTATAATCAACGGGATGGAAAATATTTAAATGAATTAAAACACCCGCGAGATATAACAGTTTAACCATAAAACGAATAATCGAGACTTATATAGTCTCGATTGTCAATTATGATAACTACGATAATAAATAATCTACGCTACAATCGTAATTAAGCCTCGATTGTCAAGTACCATTGCTACGATAATAAACAATCTACGCTACATCCGTAACTTAACTCCGAATAAAGTAATTTAAATGAAATTTTTAGAATAAACATATCGCGTTATCTATTTCTGAAATGTCATAGTAAGAACGACCAGCTCTTTATCTAAATCTTACATAATGCATCTTCATTAAAGGCATTTAGTGTGTGCATTGTGTACTGTTTACCTTGTATGGCAGGAGTACAGTTCATACAAACAAATATGTCCATTTTTAGTAACCCGCGCCCCATCCCACCCCCGCAAACAGCATATCTACAAACTAATCACTATCAGTTTATTATGCTTACGTCCAAGTTATCTTAAATCTCTCCCACGCCACACCCAATCTCCACCTCCACATCTCTACAATACTAATCACTACCAGTTTATTACGCTATCGTCCAAGTTATCTTAAATCTCTCCCGGCAGCATGGGAGGGGGGGGGGGGGCGTCTGTTTCAGTAGTTAGTCAAGGTAGCGAATGGATTTGTATTCGCAACATTTAAAATCATATTTTGGCTCCTTGTACAGTATTCTTTATCTCGGTTGTTTCACGGCGTTCTAGAGATCTTATTTATTTATTACAACTTAAACTAAAATGCTTTTAAGGATTCATAATTTTCATTGGCTCTGTTTTAATTTCAGAAAACAAATGGATACTTCTTGACCTATGAAAATACTGCATTCTTAAAGTTACAATTTCATATTTTCTAAGAAAGTCAAAACATAATTATTTCTATGTCTTTTGCTCAATAGGTTGTCAACTCACTATTATACGATCATAGGTTATCTTTCTCACACTTAAAAATCTTCACACCGGAAATAATAACACAATTACCTCCCTTGTTTTCATATTCCCCACCAAGGAATAGCTATCTTCAAACGTTTGAATTTGAAGTTGAAAATGATATTTTTGCCATGAATTTCTCAACTGGCAATAGTGAATTATAGGATTAATAGGATTATTCTTTAACAAGGTAGGACTGTTTATAGATACCATATATTTTAGGGCTTTATTTTAATACATTTTAAAAATAAAAATTAAAAATATGAAATTGTAACTTTAAACTATTGTAGATTAAAAATTCGTGGATCAGAATCCAGCAAGGGAATGGAGTATTCTCCTCACACCGGGCCGTTTATCTTATCTAATGTTTCACAGAGAATATCAACAACTTCAACTCCTCCATATATTTTGTAAGCAGTATTTATAAATGTGTGTCGCTCTTTATTAGCCCCCTTGTCAGTGATGTAGGGTTGATGGGATGAACAACTGAGGTCCCTTGTACACTTTGTAAAAGATCCATTGACAGTGGGAATTCGATATAAGAGTAGGACTTAGTGCCGCTGCCCGGGCAACATTTCCCTCATAGCACACTGTATGGCGTATGCCCATCTTCATTAGCCCAGTCGCTACAGAACAGAAGGACGTTAAACGTTAAGTAACGCTAATATTTAAATCGGGTTTGTTTTTGTTAGTAGAAACACTAAATATAATTTAATAGTTCATATCAATAAACACCTGAACTCCCTTGAGCCTTTCTATCTTTAAAGTCAAGCAAAAACGTCAACTTCACCAGTTTTTAGCTTTAGCACATTGTGCATTTGCTGTTTTTGTTAACATTTGCATTTTCTAAGCTGTATGTATGTAATATTGTTATTTATTAAATTGATATTTTGGCTAGTTTGCTGATTTGCCATGCAAATATTTAACTGTCGGTCATGTAAGATTTTCGGAGAGAAAGGGGGTGGGTGTGTTAAAAATCTTGGAATTCAGCGTCATAAATTATATCCCTTATAATGTTTAGACTCATAGATGTGGTTTCAAATTTGATCGGAAAGAAACTGAACTGGGTTTAAATTCGCTTCTGTCAAGCCTAACATCATACATGACTACCCAATCCTTCACGCTTGTGTTGAAATTTGAATACAGTGGGGACCCATCAATAATATTAAAACATCTCGTAATTCATTAATTAATTAGAGAATACAAACAGAATGTTTTTGTTAATGGTGATTGTTACTTGGATATATTTCCTATGACTTGAAACGTACATAAACAAAACAAAAAAAATGGTTCTATTCGCAAATTCACTTTAAAAGTGTGCTATTTTAAATTTATTTTGAAATAAAAAATGGTTATTGTTATCGCACGAAAAATGGCTTGTTAAAAAATATTTCAGAAATTACAATGTTTTTATTTGCGTTGAAATATATTGGTAATAGTGTGAGAAAATCGTGTAAACTTCAAATGGCAAATTAATTAATTTGAGTATCTAAATTAATATGCGTTTTAGTAAATGTGGCTGAGAGTTATATTTAAAGATTCTGTATTTCGCTTTTATAACGAAGTGTTCCCCATAAATATTTTAAAATAAAGTGAATTTGAATAGCGGTAACCATAAGACCATCAAGGAATTTAGTAACAGTCTAACAGTTATATTTCATTCTAAATTTAAGACTATGTTCAAATAAAAATGTTTGGCCAAATGAGTAACCCCGGTGACTGGTATAACAAAGGCTGATAAACAATTATATGTACTGCCACACGATCTCTAGGGTCGGTTGAAAGAGTTACCTAGTCGGTAAGAAAGGGTTTTCAATTTCTGGACTCATTTCAAAAAAAAAAGAGAAAAAAAGATAAAGGAATATTAATTTAGATCTTTCGACTGACTGCTCTTAGAAAATGTCTAATTACAACTAAATGGCAATTAGTAGAGCGTGGGGATTAAAAATTATCAATTAAAAATGACTTAAATCGACGTGTTTCAGACAATTCTAATCGTCTTTATCTTTGCATTTTGACGGAATTACAAGTCATAGGGTGTCTGTATGTCGAACTTAACTAAAGGGTAAATATATTTATAGTAGGTATATATGTAAATACTAATGTTTAAACATCCATCTTAAACGTTCTCTATATTGATGAATATAATACGACAGAATTCTAATGGTCTTTATCTCTGAATTTTCACGAAATTAGAAGTCATAGGATGTTTGTATGTCGAACTTAACTAAAGGATAAATATATTTATATTAGGTAATAAAGACTAATGTTAAAACTCTATATTGATGAACATAATACGATACAATATATATTTTAACGGGACATCAAAATAAATTGGACCGTACGTTTAAATTTATAGAAAAATTGGGGAGGGGTGGGGGGTGGTTGCAAGGTTCTGAAGTAAATGATATGTTTGTTTTTCATTATTCTTAAAACTGAAATAATTGGCTACTTACCGGTGAATCTGAATCTTCGTCATATTAGCAGCATCTTTAGGTGCCTGGATGACCCGGCCTTTCAAGTTCTCAAACGATCCAAAAGGCATTTTGACTCCGTTTTAATGAATTCAAACACTTTCAAAATCTATAAACATTGACACAGGTGCGTTGACACGGTTGAGTTAACCAGGTTCGATTCTTAACCAGGTTAGATTAGTGTAGTAATCTCTTAATCCAGATCTAACAGCATCCCACGACTCTCCGCAACGAAACAAAAAGCCAGAATTGTCACACAAAAATTATCTCAAATTAAAATTCCCACGAGTGCGACCGTAACGCGTTTAAAGCTGTAAACGCAGGCGACACGAGACGGATGTTGCTATGAATGAGAACTTGGTGAATGCCATCCGTGGAAACGCCAATATTGGCAGTACATGGAATAACTCTACACTATATTATATCGGTTGTCCTACCTGACGGTTTCAACCAATCAAAACACAGCAATCAACTCATTGAATATTCATGAGATAAATGTAGTCCCCCACTCCTTTTTTTTTATTATTTTAGTACGGTAATGCACTGATGGTGAACGTTATATATATACATCTATATATGTATATATATACATCCATATATATTGTTAATTTTTATTCCAAGCAAAATCCCAACATTTTCTCCCCCGAGTCCATTAGTTAATTGAGTTGGAGGAAAACAATTGGCCGTGTCTTTGACTGCTGGTAGAATAGGTTGAGTTTTATAGCTGTACAGATGGAGTTTACTGTGCGGAGTTTATCAAAGCCAACATACCATCGTTATTATATCGATCGATTCCATATTCAACGATGTTTAGCTTCCCATAAGACAACCCCATGGTACAGTTCCAACCAATAATATGCCAGCGTTCTCGTGTCACTCAATTAACTTTACTGTCAAATGAATGAGGGAGAGAGAGATGGGGTTTAACGTCCACTCGACACAAACTAGGTTATTTCGGGACTAACATGGTTCGATTTTATTTCTATGATTCGCTTGCGCGTAAGGGGATTTATAAGTGGAATGGAGAGAGAGGGAGAGAGCGTGTTTAACGTCCACTCGACACAAACTAGGTCATTTCGGGATTAACACTTGGTTCGATTTTATTTCTATGATTCGCTTGCGCTTAAGGGGCCTTATAAGTGGAAGGGAGAGAGACAGAGAGACAGAGAGACACAGAGAGAGTTTAACGTCCACTCGACACAAACTAGGTCATTTCGGGAGTAACATATGGTTTAATTTTATTTCAATAATTCGCTTGAGCGTAGGGGGTCTTTAACAGTTGGAGGAAACCGGAGGACCCGGAGAAAACCCACGAGGCTGGACAGGCGACCCTACTCCTAGTCACGTACAACCGGGGATTCGAAACCAAATAAGTGGGAGGAAACCAGTGGACACGGAGAAAACTGACGAGGTTGGACCGGCGAATGATCGTATTGACTTGATGACAGAAATGAAATGAAATGAAATGAAATGAAATGGGGTTTAACGTCCTACTGTTCTGCTCCTAACCTGGGCTAATGAAGACGGGCATACGCCATACAGTGTGCTATGAGGGAAATTTTGCCCGGACAGCGGCACTACCGCCTACTCTTATATCGAATTCCAACTGCCAAGGGATCTTTTACGTGCACGCCAATGTGTACACGGGACCTCGGTTTTTCGTCCCATCCGAACGACTAGACAGCTTTCCTTGTCAGGCCCTCCGTCCTGCATCACTGACAAGGGAGAACCACGCCGGAAAATCTGGATGAACTTTCTCGGCCAATGCAGGGATCGAACACCCGACCTCCAGGCTAGTGAGCTAGCGTCTTACCCACTTAGCCACGTGATCCCCCGACTTGATGACAGATCTTATGATCAAAAGTGCACGTGATAGAACATTCGGCCACCCAATCCCCGAATGAATGATATACAAATAAGAAAGGGGAAAAACTGTACACCTCATGCACGCATGAATGAGAGAGAGAGAGAGAGAGAGAGAGAGAGAGATGGGGTTTAACGTCCACTCGACACAAACTAGGTCATTTCGGGACTAACATATGGTTTAATTTTATTTCAATAATTGGCTTGCGCGTAGGGGTCTTTAGCAGTGGGAGGAAACCGGAGGACCCGGAGAAAACCCACGAGGTTGATACAGCGCGCACGTGCTAACCATTCGGCCATCCATTCCCCCGCATGAATTAGAACGTATTAAAGATTTGTAAAGAACTGTGTCTAGTCGATCGTATGGTACAAAAAACGAGGTACCCTGTATGTACCCATTAGCGTGCACGTCAAAGAACCCTTGACAGTTGCGATTCGAAATAGGAGTACCGTAAGTCACACCGCCGCTGTCCGGGCTAAATTCCTCTCATGACACACTACATAGTTTATGTCCATCTTCATTAGCCCAGATGGAGCAGAAAATTAGGGCGTTAAACCCCATTTCAATTTATTTCCATATCATAAATGAAACCGCTCAAAATTAAAATATAGTTTGTGATATTTACGCATAAACCGGTGACGTAATATTTACACATAAAGCCATGACGTGTCACTCGTATGGGTCCATGCCAGAAGCTTTAATGACGACATCTTGAAATATTAAGTGTAAGAAATAAGTCCGTTTCCGGTTCATTAGATATTCAATGTTATTATCTACCGTCTGTTGACCTAATCTAATTTATATTGGTAAATAACTCCCCACCTGTCCACATGTTAATAAATAAAACATGATATTATTATAACAACACGCGGACGTTAATTGCCTAACTATTGTCTTTGTTAACTGTAAAATGAAATGAAATGGGGTTTAACGTCCTACTGTTTTGCTCCTAAACTGGGCTAATGCATGAAGACGGGCATACGCCATACAGTGTGTTATGAGGGCTTTGTTAACTGTAGGAGTCACGATGTCTCGATGCGAAGTGATGCCCCTTGTACACATTGGCGTGTACACGTAAAATAATCCTTCACAATTGGATTGTAATTTCTGCCCAGGCCAAATTCCCCTCATAGCACACTGTATGCCCGTTTTCAGTCTTTGTTAACTGTAGGAGTCACGGTGTCTCTGTGAGAAGGGATGCCCCTTGTACACAGTGGCGTGTACACGTAAAATAATCCTTCATAATTAGAATATAATTGCTGCCCAGGCCAAATTTTGCTCATAGCACATTGTATATCCGTTTTCAATCGCCTGGGGAGAGAGAGAGAGAAATGGGGTCTAACGTCCACTCGACACAGACTAGGTCATTTCGGGACTAACATATGGTTTAATTTTATTTCAATAATTCGCTTGCGCGTAGTCTTTAGCAGTGGGAGGAAACCAGAGGACACGGAGAAAACCCACGAGGTTGGACAGGCAACCCTACTCCTTGCCGCGTACAACCGGGGATTCGAAACCCCCGCCAGTTGACTCAGTGACAGGCCTTATGATTCAATCGCCCGGTAGGTGCAGAACAGTAGGACGCTAAAATCTCATTTCATACTTTCTGACCTTATGAGACAACGCGCACCCCTCCCCCACCCCCCGCGCCCGAAACACTAATGTGACTGGTGGTGAGAATCAGGGGTGTTTTAAAAATTGTGCTACAACTCGATTTAAATTTCCTAGTTAGATTGATTAAACTCCCCCCTGATAAAATTGACTAAACAAACATAAATCGCCTGATTTTAAAAATGGGGCATTAAACCATATTCCATTTCATTCGACTTCTCCTGATTTCACCTACCAATAAGTAAATGTTAGGGTGATCACGTCGCTAAGTGGGTAAGACGCTAGCTCGCTAGCCTGGAGGTTGGGTGTTCGATCCCTGCATTGGCCGAAAAAGTTCATCCAGATTTTCCAGAGTGGTTCTCCCTTGTCGGTGATGCAGGACGGAGGGCCTGACAGGGACAGCTGTCTAGTCCTTCGGATGAGACGAAAAACCGAGGTCCCGTGTATACATTGGAATGCACGTAAAAGATCCCTTGACAGTCGGTATTCGATATAAGAGTAGACCGTAGTGTCGCTGTCTGGGCAAATTTTGCCTCATAGCACACTGTATGGCGTATGCCCGTCTTCATTAGGGGGATCACGTGGCTAAGTGGGTAAGATGTTGGCTCGCTAGCCTGGAGGTCGGGTGTTCGATTCCTGCATTGGCCGAGAAAGTTCATTGAGCATTGAGATTTTCCGGCGTGGTTTCCCCTTGTCAGTGATGCAGGATGGAGGGCCTGACAAGGACAGCTGTCTAGTCGTTCGGATGAACGAAAAACCGAGGTCCCGTGTACACATTGACGTGCACGTAAAAGATCCCTTGACAGAATTCGATATAAGAGGAGGCCGTAGCGCCGCTGCCCGGGCAAAATTTCCCTTTTTGCACACTGTATGGCGTATGCCCGTCTTCATTAGCCCAGTTTAGGAGCAGAACTGTAGGACGTTAAACCCCATTTCATTGTAATATAGCAATATTGCTGTTAACCCATATAACTCAGATCAGGCCCAATTTGTGCAAAGTGTAAAAACCAATATGCTGTTTATAATGAATATTCACAGTTGACCATACCTAGAATAACTCCCCACATGTTCTCAAATAAACGATTAAATTAGTGGGCGAACAACCCATTGTTTGCTTATACACTTCAGTAACGTCATTTGTATTTTTCGCTAAAATATCAAATTTCTCACAGTGTAATCCACCCCGCATATATCATCCACAGATTGACAATTTAACACTAAATAAAAAAAAATATAACGCTAGATAATGTTAAACACATTTCAAATATAATTTTAACACAGAGATCATTGCTACGATAGCTGAGTAATACAGGTTTCCTGAATCTAAAGTGACGAACGCCAAAGGAAACACGAGTCATCCCTCTATATAACTGACTGAAGTGACGAGTAATAACAGATACATGGGCGAATTTCTGCTCACTAATAATTTCTTCCAAGACCAAAAGTTGTTGACAAATTTCTAAATTAAACATACATTATGCAGGAGCTAAATCTGCCTACTGCAGGTCTTTCGTAAGGCCTGAAATGTTATCTAAATTATTGATTAGACATTAATTAACTTATCCAGACCATTATCAACTCTCGATGTCATCGCCAGCCTGCGATATTTACTCGATTAGGATCCGATTTGCTGCTCAACTTTCATTCATGATTAAATCATAAAATGGATAATCGAGACTATGTTTTTTTTATATTTATCGTACCGACTTTAGTAATGATTATCGAGGCTAAACCGAAAACTCAATCGCTAAAATCTCGGTTCAGAGTGGATGAATTAGACTGACATTTTCAGCAAATTCCCTTTACATTACCTAGTTTTTAACTATTATAGTTAGAACTGCCAGCTCTTTATTTAATCTCCCATAATGTATCTTTAAAATATGCATATTGAGCATTTAGTCAATTCAAAATCTGATTAATGTCACGAAATTATTCTGACTGGTGTAATTTATTAAACGATTTGTATGACACCCACTCTCTAGTCACACTCTCTAGTTATGTAT